AATTTCCATTACAATGGGAGCATTATAATTTCCATGATTACTGGGGTTTTGTAATACATTGGAAAAATTGCAATAATTATGGAAATGATTATGAAGATATTATTAAGATAAGCTAAGTGTTTTAAGGCCAGTTTTAGTCAAATGAATTATAAAAAAGGATAGTGCTGTTACTGCTTTCTTTAAAGAAACAGAGAAACAAATTCTACATGCAAATCCCACAATCACCCTTACACATGCAAATACACATCTACTATACACCATCAAGAAACATAAGCGCTAATACATGAAATATACCCATTAATTTAACAAGTAAAATGAACAGGCAATACTACTTACATGGGAAATTGATTTTACCTGGAAAATACACACACACACACACACACACACACACATACACACACACTTGGGTCTCTGCCTCCCATGTAGGAGACCTTGATGGAGTTCCAAGTTCCTGGCTTCAGCTTGGCCCAGCCCTGGCTGTTGTGTATATTTGGGGAGTGAATTAACACATGGAAGATATCTGTCTCTCTCTGCCTTTCAAATAAAACAAAAACAAAATCAATTTTTTTGATAATTTAAATGAAATCTCAACAACAGTATCATTTTCTTTCTTTTTTTAAAGATTTATTTATTTGAAAGGCAGAGCACAGAGCAACATAGAAAGGAGGGACGGAATGAGGGAGGAAAAGATCCTCAAGTTGTCACAGCAGGCCAGACTGGGTAAGGCCAAAGCCAGGAGCCAGAAACTCCATCCTGGTGTCTCACAAGAGTGATGGGGCCCACATACTTGGGCTACCTTCTGCTGCCTCTCCAGGTACATTAGCAGGAAAGTGGATCAGAACAGCTGGTACTTTAACTGGCACTCCAGTGTGGGATGCTGGCATGGCAAGCAACAGCTTAACTGGCTGCGCCACATCAGGTCCAACAGTAGCTTATAGTTAACATTAAAACAATATTGTTGGGGCCAGCACTGTGGTGCAGGGGGTTAAAGCCCTGGCCTGCGACACCAGCATCCCATATGGGCGCTGGTTCGAGTCCCGGCTGCTCCATTTCCGATTTAGCTTTCTGCAATGGCCTGAGAAAGCAGTAGAGGATGGCCCAAGTCTTTGGGCCCCTGCACCTACATGAGAGACCTCGAACAAGCTCCTGGCTCCTGGCTTTGGATCAGCTCAGCTCTGGCTGTTGAAGCCATTTAGGGAGTGAACCAGCAGATGGAAGACCCCTGTCCCTCCCTTCCTCCCTCTCTCTCGCTCTGGCTCTATATCTCTCTGTAACTATTTCAAATAAATAAAATAAATCTTTTAAAAAATATTGTTATCCATCCACTAGATTTAAAACTTAGTTTGAAATTGGTTACTATTGCTCAAAAGCTTTTAGCCTCTATTAGAAAAGCTAGTATATTTAATCAAAATTAATAGAAAATCAAATTGTAAGATGCATATTTTATATTATAAACATTTTAAACTTTATTACTAGGGATACAGAAACCAAACCACGCTGTTTTCATGTCTATTTACTTGTGGTGCAATCCAGGTACATATGTTTCAATCTGTCTCTGCAGATTCACCATCCGATCCATCTTGAATAAATTCTAGTTACCACATTCCACAGGAAGAGTACATTCTTGGCTTTCCTACTTTGGGTGGTATGAGAGCATATTTTAGGTGTGTTTCTCCTCCAAAAGGAGCATCACTTTTTTTTTTTTTTCCATCATAAAGGTAAACCTTCCAATAAACGAGGACTCCCATTTTGAATGCACTGAGTTGTATGATAGATCAAATATTTTAATTCTAATTCTACAGTATATAATATTTCACAATAGAACTTTATGAAATGGCAAATGACCAAAATGGTATATAATCCAGTAAGGCTCCATATGAGCAACTGAAATTTAAATTTAATAAACTATGATAAAATAACAGTTCCTGGGTCCCACTAGCCATAGTACAAGTACTCAAGGGCTACCTGTGACTAGTAGCTATGATACTTGAAGCTCAGATACAGAGTTTTATCTTTTTGGAAATCATTATAGAAAATTCTATTGGATGGCACTAAATTCTCATGTTTTTGTTAGACATCAAGTTTATGGTGAACCACAAAATGACTATTTTTCCTGGTCACATGCTTTTCATGTGAAAAAGACTAACTGGGCTTGATGTTAGTTCTAATGTGCAGGAAGAATGATAAACTGAACATTTTGTGTCAAATGATTATTAAATTTGTATATAATGATATAGCCTCAGGTTGTAATAAGTGCATACTCACTATTATTTTGAGAATAGAAGTTAACACAATATTCATGAGTACTTAAGAAGAAAGATCACAACTTGATTAAAGATAAAGGAAAATGTGGTGTCTAGTGCATATTCCTGTCAGAGGGAAAATTGGAATGAAAAAATAAAGGGCAGAAAAACCCATGCGCATTCCAGAGTAGTAACTTAAAAATGCATCAAGTGGCTCTAAGTTTTTCTAAAAGTCTCTTTAAAAATAACAATACAAAAACTTTCTAAGGCACTTAGTCACCTTCTCATTTGTTTTTTGCTTTTGTTTTTGTTTTTGTTTTTTGACAGGCAGAGTGGACAGTGAGAGAGAAAGACAGAGAGAAAGGTCTTCGTTTTGCCGTTGGTTCACCCTCCAATGGCCGCCGCGGCTGGCGCGCTGCAGCCGGTGCACCGCGCTGATCCGATGGCAGAAACCAGGTGCTTCTCCTGGTCTCCCATGCGGGTGCAGGGCCCAAGCACTTGGGCCATCCTCCACTGCCTTCCCGGGCCACAGCAGAGAGCTGGCCTGGAATAGGGGCAACCAGGAAAGAATCCAGTGCCCCGACAGGGACTAGAACCCGGTGTGCCGGCGCTGCTAGGTGGAGGATTAGCCTATTGAGCTGCGGTGCCGGCCACCTTCTCATTTGTTTTACAATGAAGCAGGAACCACTCAGTAAAATGAACATTTTCAACAGTCCTCTTTGGCTATAGTGACACTCAATATAAACTGATGCGAATGGTTATTATATTACTATACTGCTGGGTTTAACGGATTGAGAATATATTTTAGAATACTCGTGACCTATAATTTTAAGTGTACCCTATGTGATTGTCATGTATTTGATGACAGTACCTCTGGTATTTCTAGTTAAAAAAAAGTCTTGGTCAGGAATGTATGGTATGTTGGTATTTACATAAGAAATACATATGATATATTTATAGAACTTATTTCAGGAAGATAAGCTGCCAAAACTTCAAGGACTAAAATGCTTTCTTTAGAATATAACTTGCAAATTGAGTATTTGAGAACTACATACAAATTAAGTATACTTACATAAAATGTTATATTAACAAGCCTGCAAAAATGATATGGAATTTTTAAAAAGATTTATTTATTAATTTGTTTGAAATCCAGAGTAACAGAGAGGGAGAGGAAGAGGGATTAGGAGAGGGTAGGGAAGTGGGAAAATGAGGGGAAAGGGGATCTTCCACCTGCTGGTTTACTCCACAAACAGCCACAACAGCCAGTTAGATACTATAAAGGCAACATTTGAAACTAGATTCAGACTTCTCTAAACCTTCATTAAGTTACTCACAGCCTCAAAATTAATTTTTAATGAATTTTAGGGGAAATAATTCATCTTTTCACTTTTCCGATGTGCTAGGTACAATTTCTAAGTTTTGGGGATTTAAGTGCTGAACAAGGCAATGTACCCGCCCTCCATACAGCACTTATATTCCTACCACTCAGGAAGAGAATTTGGCATTTTATGGGTACTCAATGTAACAAGGGTCTCTCCAGCACAGTGATCAACAGCATGACCTAGGAGCTAGTCACCTAAAGTTTGAGTCCCATCTACCACTTAAAAATATCTATGTTAGACAAGTTAATTATCTCTATTTTCTTATGTTTGAAAATGGGGATAAAAATTATATTAACTTATTTGGTTGCCCTGAGGATTATATAGGTTAGTACGAGTAAAGCACACAGTAAATGTTTTATTAGTACTTGCTATTTTTACTATTCCTATTTGTATAGGGAGACTAATAAACATGCATATATAAATCAAATTATTCTGTCAAAAAAATAAAATAAAATTTGTTTTTGCTTTACTTCCTGTGTAAATTCTCTTATAAAAGCTGATAAAAGGATATTCTAGATCTTCATTAATTCATTCAATACATATTAGCTAAGTGATCATTTAATGTGCTGGGCACTGTGCTCTGAGCTAAACCAGAGACAAACGTAGTTTCTTCAGGAAATCTAGTAAGTAACAGATAATCACATCAATATTTAATTACATTAGAGTGAATTTAGTAAAAGGAAAGTGTACAATGAGACAGTATAGTTGGAAGCCTAATCCAGTTCAAGGATTCCAGGAAGAATTGCTTGAGGAAGTTACATCTAAGTGCTTCATCTGCTATACCTCCTGGGCAGAGAAGCCTGGAAACAATCAGATGGGAGACAGCATGTCAAATCTTAGCACCTTTATGGACCTTAGATAGGAAAACTCCATAGAAGAGAACAAAAGATTTTTATTTTGTTTTTCTAGTAGGGTCAAGACTCCTAACTCCATAATGAATAACTTTTTATTAGATGATATCTTTGGTTATGAAGCAATCTGGAAAACTGGAAAACTTTCTTTTAGGTTAATGACAATTCATGTATCATTCCCAAAGACTACAAGCAATCCAACTAAGGTCATCTTCAATGAAGTACTTGACAACTAGAGCACCTATAAATATGACGGCACTGTCTATGAAGCAAAGTCTTAAGGCTTAAATACTTTTGGTTCTAACATCTGTATGTAGAGATTACTTGTAGGTAGGAGTTGCTGAGTTTCTGAGAGTCAAAAAAAAAATGAATTCATTCTTCCCACCCTCAAGGATCTTATCATTTGAGGAATCAGGAAACTAAATTCAACTTTACAAATAAAAAAGAAGGAATCCAGGAAGTAGAAAGGAAACACTTACGGAGACCATATCCTTGGGAAAGCTTCTACTTCTTCTTGTGTGTACTCATCAAGACGTTTGGGTACCTTTCGTGGTTGAGGAATCTCTTCCACTAAATTCTTAAGGATATCTTCTGGAATATTCTACAATAAAAAAATTAGGCTTAATTTTCTCAAAATATTTCTCTTAGGAACAAATCAGTAATATTTAGAAGATGTTAAAGAATAACAGGCAAAGAATGCTGGGATGGGCCTTTGGCCTAGTGGTCAAGGCACTGGTTGAGATGCCTGCATCACATACATAAGTGCCCGTTATAAAACCCCTGGTCTACTCTAGATTTCAACTTCATTATAATAAACGCCTTGGGAGGCACTAAGTGACAGCCTAAGTAGTTGGTCTCTGGCACTAGTGTAGGATTTAGGTTGACTTCCTGGCTCCCAGTTTTTGCCTGGCCAAATCCCAGCCACAATGAGGATTTCAGAAGTGAACCAGTAGATGGGACTTCTGTCTGTCTCTCTTTCCCTGCCTATCAAATAAATAAATAAATAAACAAAAATAATAACATAAAAAGCAAGCAAATCTGGCAAAATCTTAAAAATATGATTGCAGAAAGAGGAAAATAATATCATCTTTAAAATAAAAAAAGGGACTGGCACTGTGGCTTAGCAGGTAAAGCTGCTGCCTGCAGTCCTGGTGTGGGCGCCATACCAGCTGCTCCACTTCTGTTTTTTTTGACAGGCAGAGAGGACAGTGAGACAGAGAGAGAGAGAGAAAGGTCTTCCTTCCATTGGTTCACCCCCAAACGGCCACTATGGCTGGCACACTACACCGATCTAAAGCCAGGAGCCAGGTGCTTCCTCCTGGTCTCCCATGCAGGTGCAGGGCTCAGGCACTTGGGCCATCCTCCACTGCCTTCCAGGGCCACAGCAGAGAGCTGGACTGGAAGAGGAGCAACAGGGACAAAATCCGGCACCCCAACCGGGACTAGAACCCAGAGTGCCGGCGCTGCAGGCGGAGGATTAGCCAAGTGAGCTGCGGCGTCAGCCCAGCTGCTCCACTTCTGATATAACTCTCTGCTATGGCCAAGGAAAGCAGAGAAAGACGGCAAAAGTCCTTGGGACCCTGTACCCGCATGGGAGACCCAAAAGAAGCTCCTGGCTCCTGGCTTCGGATAGGCCCGACTCCAACCACTGTGGCCATTTGGGGAGTGAACGAGCGGATGGAAGACTTCTCTCTCTCTGCCTTTCAAATAAATAAATAAATTAAAAAAAATAAAAAACTTATATAAATCCCAACTTAATGATATATCCTCCTATAGTAATATACTACCTTAGTAAATACTATTTAATTTATTCTCTTTTTAATTGCAAAAAGTCACTGCCTTTGCTCATTTTCAGTCTTTTCATCTGATGAGCACATGTACTAGGTCTACTGTATCCAGTGCCACCACCTTAATCTATGCTCCAGGTTGTTGCCAGAAAAAAATTTCAAAACTGAAAATCTCTTTGGTTCTGCAGTCATTTAGTTCTCTGTGAAACATTTATTGAATTCCTTCCATGAACCAGAAATTGTGCTAAGTGCTAAATATATAAAGAAAAATAAGTAGATCAAGGCCTCTAAAGGTTTACAGTTTTTAAAGTCACCTCTCAGCTTAAAATCCCCTAGAATAATGTTCTAACTCTTTTGCTACACTTCCTTAGCTAAACCAGTGTCCCCAATCCTTGCTGGCTCCTCCAGCTTTATTTCACATACATCTATGACTTCTTACTTAATCTCCTTGCGTTTCCTGCTTTGGTCTAGACTCAAATCCTGGCGCCTTTATTAAAAGTATTCCTTCTGCTCAGAACCACTTTCACCCAATTATATATCCAAATGGTCAGAAAAATGGAAAGAAAAGTTGGAAGCCTGGTTTGGCAATAGTAGGCAGAACGGACTGCAATAGGGAAAAACTGGATAACAGTAAAGTGGCTATTTTAGTAATCAAAGTAAGATGTAAAAATCTGGATGTGGGTAATAAAAAAACAACTAAAGAGTACAGCACCAATCTGAAAAGTATTTTAAAAGAAAGTATACAGTGCTCTGCGTGCTTGCTGTGGGGAGCAAACCGGACTAGACTGTTACTGGAATTAAGACTTATTCTATGCATCTGCTCTCCCACAATATGGCGCTGGGAGAGAAGTAAACAGCTTCCGCACAGCTGCCTCCAGTTCAACCAATTAACTGTAGGACTTGCTCCTGATTGGAGAGCAGCGTACTCAGCCGAGTTGGGATTGGCGGAGGAGGACTATAAAGGAGGAGAGAGACGGCATGCACCAGGAACATCTATGGGGAACATCTAGCTGAGGGAACACCTGTGCAGCCCCCGAGAAGAGCCGGCCGGCGGTGTGCCGCTCCCCTGCGGAAGTGGGGAATGCGGCCAGGGGGAACTGCCCTTCCACGGAGGTGGAAGGGATAGTAGCCAACCCGGGAAGAACCAGCAGCAAACCCGGGGAGGGCCGAGCAGACGAAAGAACAGCGCAGGGTCCTGTGTTGCTCCTCCACGAAGAGGGGGAGCGACATAATGGTGCCGTGACTCGGATAGGAAACCTAGCTCGGATAGGAAACCTAGGACGGAGATGAAACTTAGGAGGGAAGAAACGGGAAGAACTGGGAAATTACCGGAGAAAGAGACTAGTAAACAGCCTAGGGAAAAGCCGGACGAAAAAGGAGCCGGAAGAAGCTATTGAAAGCCTAGGCATAGACTCGAAACAGCCTAGGGAAAAGCCGGACGAAAGAGGTGCCGGAGGAAGCTGTTGAAAGCCTAGGCATAGACTCGGATACGGACTACGGGGGGAAGCTGGGAGAAATCTCTAAGGTCGAAAGCGAAAGTGAAAGCTAGAACAAACAGATTCGGACGCGGACTGTGGGGAGAGGCCAGGAGAAATGAGGGAGGAATATCGTTGGAGGAAAGCTTGGGGAAACATACCGGGTAGAGAAAAATGTTAGGGAAATTGAAGCCGCGGGGGGCAGGCCGAGGTGGAGACGAAAGCCACTTTGGGGTTCTCAAGTTAGCCCGGGAATAGGGGGCGAAAAGTTGAAACCAGAAGCTGAGACGCAAGCCAGATTGGGATCCGTCTGATTAGCCCGGGGAGCAAAGGACGGGAAGCCAGATCGTGGGGCGGAGACGTACGCTGGGTTGAATTCGCCAGGCTAGCCCGGGGAACTTAGATTGAATCCTAGTGGCGGAGACGCAAGCTACGCTGTGTTACTCGCGGAAGCCGCCGCGTGCAGAGAGAGCACGGGGCGTGAATAGATAGGGAACGCTGGCGTAGGCCGTGGTTCAGACGCGAAAGGGTTAAGCGTGGAGACCGCGGACCGCGCAAAGCCGGGAAGCCGCGCAGAGAGGCGCGCGGGCTGAAGCGGCGCAGAGCCGGGAACCCGCCGGCGGGGCGAGGTGCCGGGAAGCTGCGGGGATAAGAGAAACAGAAGTTTAGAAGTAAAAGAGAAATAGGAATGTTGGCAGACAGAAGTAAAATGGGAGAAATAGAAATGCCCGGAGATAGAGAAATAGAGAAAAATAAGGCCTCCCCTCAACATGCCAATTAGAAGGCTTGGATTCGGTCTGCCCGATTAGTGAGGCGATGAGCACCTGGGCGGCTAGCCGCAGGTCACCGAAGACAGGCACGAATTAACATCAGTAAAGCTTCCCCACAATGCAACAATTAGGAGGCTTGGATTCGGTCTGCCTGATTTAAGGCGGTAAGCGCCAGCAAAGCTCGACCAGAGTATGAGCTGCAGGTCACCGAAGATAGGCACGAACCAACACTAATAAGTCTCCCCCACAATAAGGCAATGAGAAGGCTTGGATTCGGTTTGCCTGATAGGTTTTGTAAGCCCCTGCGGGCAGAGCAGAGCATGCGCTGCAGGGCACCGAACACAGGCACGCATCAGCGCCTAAAAACCTCCTCACAATGGCGAAGAGAGGACCCGGATTCGGTTTTCCTGATTGATAGGACTTGTAAGAGCCTGTGGCAGCTCTAGCAAGTAGAGCAGAGTGTGTGCCGCGGGACACCGAAGACAGGCGCGTATCAACGCCAAAAATAAAAAGAAAGGGGGATCTGTGGGGAGCAAACCGGACTAGACTGTTACTGGAATTAAGACTTATTCTATGCATCTGCTCTCCCACAATATGGCGCTGGGAGAGAAGTAAACAGCTTCCGCACAGCTGCCTCCAGTTCAACCAATTAACTGTAGGACTTGCTCCTGATTGGAGAGCAGCGTACTCAGCCGAGTTGGGATTGGCGGAGGAGGACTATAAAGGAGGAGAGAGACGGCATGCACCAGGAACATCTATGGGGAACATCTAGCTGAGGGAACACCTGTGCAGCCCCCGAGAAGAGCCGGCCGGCGGTGTGCCGCTCCCCTGCGGAAGTGGGGAATGCGGCCAGGGGGAACTGCCCTTCCACGGAGGTGGAAGGGATAGTAGCCAACCCGGGAAGAACCAGCAGCAAACCCGGGGAGGGCCGAGCAGACGAAAGAACAGCGCAGGGTCCTGTGTTGCTCCTCCACGAAGAGGGGGAGCGACACTTGCTACGTCCGGAGCCCGTGGAGTAGGCATTTCCGGCCATTCACATGCCTAGTCGGTCCTCAGTTGTTGCATTCTCTGCGTTATCCAGCACAAAGGACGACTGCGCCACTAGGATGAAGCTCGTGAGATTTTTGATGAGATTGAGTCATGAAACTGTAACCACTGAACTGAAGAATGGAACACAGGCCCATGGAATAATCACAGGTGTAGATGTCAGCATGAATACGCATCTTAAAGCTGTGAAGATGACCCTGAAGAACAGAGAACCTGTGCAGCTGGAAATACTGAGTAGTCAAGGAAATAACATTTGCTATTTTATTCTACCAGACAGTTTACCTCTGGATACACTGCTGTGGATGTTGAACCCAAGGTGAAATCTAAGAAAAGGGAAGCTGTTGCAGGAAGAGACCGAGGCCGGGGTAGAGGAAGAGGGGGTCCCAGGCGATAATGCCTCTCAAGATTACTGATTCAGAGTGATGAGTGATTCGGGATTTCTTTTGTACAGGCTTTGTTTGTTTATGTCACTTTTTAATAAACATAAATGTTGGGCAGAATTGTCTATTGACTGCATCACATTAAGGTTTTAGTAGTTTCATATTCATGAAATTGCCCCTGTGAGACCTAAGCATTTCTTAGACAGTTCCCTTCTTAGATGATCAGACTTTAATTTTTTAAATGCAGTTTTTCTATTATGAATATATATACAGAAAGAGAGCAACCACGTACCTTTTTACTTCACATGCTCTGAGTATGTATTTTGTTACTTTATTCTTGACTCCTGCCTGTGGAACCTACCTATAGGTGAAATCATAAATTCTTTTTGGTACTGTAGAAACTCAAGTCATTAGGCTGGCACCGCAGCTCACTTGGCTAATCCTCCACCTGTGGCGCCAGCGCCCTGGATTCTAGTCCTGGTTGGGGTGCCGGATTCTGTCCTGGTTGCTCCTCTTCCAGTCCAGCTCTCTGCTGTGGCCCTGGAAGGCAGTGGAGGATGGCCCAAGTGCATGGGCCCTGCACCTGCATTGGAGACCAGGAGGCGGCACCTGGCTCCTGGCTTCGGATCGGTGCAGTGCGCCAGCCATAGCAGCCATTTGGGTGTGAACCAACAGAAGGAAGACCTTTCTCTCTGTTGCTCGCTCTCTCTCTCTCTGACTAACTCTGCCTGTCAAATAAAAAAAAAGAAAAAAGAAACTCAAGTCATTATAGAATAGGGGCTAACATTCATTCCGCTTTTCTGAGTTTCACTCTTTGGAGACTTGGGTACCTGGTAAAAGGTGGTAGTCATCTTTGAATCAGAAGTCATTGATTGTGTTGTCATTGTTAATGGTTTTTGTTTCTTTAGTTTTCTAGAAGGTTCTGAATAGAACATAGTTTTATGTGCCTCTGAGTTGAAACTGCAGCTAATATTCAGTAGGTTATCAGTTATGAGCAATGTTGAAACCTGTTGATGTGGAGGCACCTAAGTGGCTCCCCTTTCCAGCACTTTTTCAAGGAGTCCTTAAAAACAGAAGGGAAAAAAATCTTTATTTGACAGTAAAATGATTTTTTTCCTATTATTAAGGATTTAATTGGTTAAAGAAAAATGCTTCTTGGTGTATATAATTCCTTGTAAAGCTTACTACCATTTGTTTATATGTTAAGGAAAAAAAAAAACCTTACTTTGAGGCCAATGGGGAGCCTAAATCTATATTTCTGCTTAATATGCCTATGGATTTTTGTTTATTTTGTAAACAAGAAGGAGATTTTCTGCAAAGCTGTTATCTAAAAGTTCAGGCCTTGGGGGAAGGTTATATACAGTTAAGTGATAGCAAGGAGATGGTGTGTGTGTGTGTTTTAAAGTTACCATAAATCTTGTCATAAATATTTAAAGGTATCCACTCTCATCAAGTAAATTTAAATATTTCTTGATTATTCCACAATTGACTGTCTATTCTCTTGTTCATAAGTCATAAAAGTTAACCCATAGTGTTTACCTATTTTATTACAAATCAGCCAGTTTGAATACAAGTTCTTTGATCCAAAAAAGAATGTATAAAATTCATAATTAAGACAACTTTATATGAATATTCGTGTTGAACTGGCATGGACAAAATACAACCAGTATGTAATTTTCCTCTGCATCTTTTGTAAATTAAGAAGTGGAGGGAATAAATATCTGGATCTCAAAAAAAGAAAGTATAAGCATTAAAGCAAATAAAGGAAATGATAAAACAAAGAGTGTGGTTAACCAAAAATTAACATTGTGCCTGTGACCCAGAAAGGAGAATTGTATTCTGAGACTAAGAGATAAATTAATTTGAGGACTCTATTGAAATAATGGAAAGGTGCTGATATGGAAATATCCTATGGGCTTTTCTACAAGGAGAATCAACAAAATTCCCTCTTTTCCTTGTAGTATGTGGCTAGATGTTTTCAAAACAAGATTATCATATAATACATTACAGTTCTTGACAGAGAGCAATATTGCAATTTTGAATCAAATGTGTGGCCAAAGATTTGGCACCAAATATGACAGTTCTGATCTATTAGTATGTCTTAAGAATTAAGGTATAATTTTAACAATAGTTTCAGAATCATAGAGTTCTATTGTATTTGTTCTAAAACCTAATATAGCAAACTTTTTATAGCATTTTTAAGTATTTAAAATGGCTATTACAATTAAGGCTTAGATTGGCTCTGCCACTATCAATATATACAACACAACAAATACTTTGGGTCATGTACTTTTTCACTGAAAAGTATTTTAATAATATTTAAAATCCCTTTCTCCACCACCATCATGTCTTAGTGTAGTCAAATCTACCAGTATAGTTACAGAGAATCAGAATAAGCAGAAGATGCCTAGACACACACATACTGTTATGGGACACTTGTTTTTTACTTACTGAAAGGGCCTACCTAATATTTAGAACTTTATTAAAATTCATATTTCTTTAAGTAGTCATTAAAAAATCTCTAGATTATTTGTAAAGATAATTTCAAAAGCTGCCACTCATTCACTCAGCACAGAGAAGAGTGGAGAACACAGCAGGTTCTGAAAAAATATCTGATGAACAGAATGGAATTTTGATGAAACAAGTTTTCCAAATTCCCTTATTACTGGGAGAATTTGCAGAATGGATAAAACTGATGAAAAATGAAGAATTAAAGAGAGGGAGAAGGGCCTCCTTTGATCTGAATACAGACAAAATAGACCCATGAATGCAAACTGAAGTCCTTTTCACAGAAGGGAAAAGGGAAACAAGCAAAAGCATAAAAGTAGGATACATTTACTTCACTATTTGTGCAGCTTTTTATTTTAAGAAATTTAAAATCTATATAAAGGTTGAAAGAATACAATGAACACTAACATAACCTCCCCCTAAATTCACAACTGTTACCCTATGACATGTCTGCTTTCTCTCTTTTTGTCTACATATAGACTTTCTTTCGGATGAACCACTTAAGAGTAATTTGTACTTCCACCCTAGATATTTTACATTCCTGTGTATCTACTCAATATAAGGATCAAGGGCGAATCTCCTAATATATGGATTTTTTGATAAATGTTATCTAATTCCCAGAATCCCAGATAAGGTACTTTCAGCAATGTCTGAAGGTCTGTTTCACAATGGCCTTCACAATAAAAATGTGCCCTACAGCTTTTGAATATTCACTGGCTCATTTTTGAGGAACTGGGCTCATTTATTTTATAGTCTGAAATTAATTAAATTAGGTAACATACTATTCAAGTGAATTATCACAAATACTTAAAACAGTCATACACAAATCTGGCTCCTTTGTAATTGGAATAAATAATATCTGGGGTCTTCTGGAAATTATGATTCCCCAAAATTGTGATATATAATCAGAAATGCGAGTTTTAAATCTTGTGATTTCATGAGGGTTATCTATCCTTGGATGATGATACTGCTTCATACTTGTTACCTGAAGTAAAGTGAGTAGTGGAAAATAATCTTACTCAACAGTGGCAGTAAATCAATCATTTTGAGGAAAACATGAATAATTTACTCAGTATAAATAATTACTCGTTTTGTTTAAGCTAGCAATACAGCACACAAGCAGCCTGAACAACTGTTATAACTTGATACTCTAGAATGAATTTCTTCATTATTCCTTCAGTGGGAACTAAAAGGGCAACAATAACAAGCACTTACTGTGCTAGGCCCTATTTTAAGGACTCTATACATTTATTTCATTTACCCCATACAACAATGCTGTGAAGTAGATACTATCATTAAGTTCATTTCACAGATGAGGAAGCAGATGGTAAGTGACTAGTCCACACGTCCATGCAGTCAGTAAATGGTGGAGCACGGATTCACATCCAGGCTATCTGATTCCAGAGTCTGCACTCAGCTATTTTATTACAGAGCCTCTAGTGTTTTATTATATTATACTAAAGGGAAAAGCTAAGTGCTTAAACAGTAATGATAATAAATAAAAATGATAACAAATAAATTTTTAAAAATTATTTTTATCTGAATAAATTTTGAGCAGAAAAAAATTCTAAAGTTAATTTATAGATAATAATTAGCAACCAAAGTTATTAATAAATGATTCACAGACGTTTTGTTACTGGTCAAACAAAAAGTGAACTTAATCAATACTTTTTCCATAGTTGGTAAAATTATCCATGAGTACTGCAATATAACAGGAGCTCTCATCATGGTTCTTTGTTCAAAACAAAGTAGTTATTGAGGGGCTGGCATTATGGTGCAGTGTGTTAAGCCACTGCTTGAGATGTTAGCATCCCACATCAATGCTGGTTGAAGTCCTGGCTGCTCCACTTCTAATCCAGCTCTCTGCTAATGCACCTAGCAAATTCTGGAAGATGGCCTGAATGCTTGGGTCCCTATCACCCGCATTAAGAGACCCAGATGGAGTTTCAGGCTCATAGGTTTGGATTGGCCCAGCCTCGGTTTTTGTGGCCATTTGGGGGTACACATAGAAGATCTCTGTCTCTCCCTCTCTGTATAACTCTGCCTTTCAAATCATAAACAAGTAAATCTTAACAAAAAATAAGAAGTAAAAACAAAGCATGTGATAGCATTGTGGTGTAGTGGGTAAAGCCACTGCCTGCAATGCAACAATCTCAGATGGGTACCAGTTCATGGCCCAGCTGTTCCACTTCTGATCCAGCTCTCTGCTAATGGCCTGGGAAAAGCAGTGGAAGATGGCCCTAATGCTTGGGCCCATGAACCTAAGTGGGAGAGCCTGGATTAAGTTCCTGGCTTCAGCCTGGTTCAGCTCTAACCATTGCGGCCAACTAGGGTAGAGATCCAGCAAATAGAAGATTGATCTCTCTCTCTCTCTCTCTCTGTAACCCTGACTTTCAAATAAATAAATACATACATAAAATCTTAACAACAAAAAGAAAGTGGCTATTAAAATGAAAAATTGGAAAATATAGGCTTTTGATTTTTATTCCAATGATGGAGAGAAGCACTGATCATTATATACACATAAACATGTGTGTAAGGTATACATATGCATATATGTTCACTTTACAAAAAGGGGTGGGCATTTTGGGTCAGCATTTAAGACGCTTCTTGGAATCTCAACATTGCATATCAAAGTGTGTGGATTAGAGTACCAGCTCTGCTCTCCATTTCACCTCCTGTGAATGCAGATGCTGAGAGGTACCAGATGATGGCTCAAGTGGTTGAGTCCATGCTACCCAAATCGGAGACCTGGACTGAATTCCCAGCTCCTGGTTTGGGCTGGCCCATCCCCAGCTGTTGCTGGCATTTGGGAAATAAATCAGTGGTGGGAGATCACTCTGCTTGTCTGTCTTTCCATCTTTCTGTTTCTCTGTCTCTCAAATAAAATAAAAAATTAAAAATAAAAAAATTAAGAGGTTGACATAATTATTAAAAATAAGTATTATGTAATTATTTAAAAAGCAGAGAAAATACTTAATTGAAAATTTAGGAAAAGCATCATTAACCAACGATTACTCACATACCTCATCTGGAAAAAGATGTAGCCGTTGCATCATTGTTCTTCTGTGAAGGTTTTTGGGCAGCATGCCATAAATAGCCAATTTTACAATCTGAAAAACAGGTATATCTAGGATTCAATAAGTAAATCGTGACTTGGCATAAAAAGAAAGCAAACATGATTAGAGAGATGGTGATGGAAACAGGTGGGCAAGATTCAACATGAATACATGAAAGAAATAGACTAAGTAAAAATGTGGAAGCAACAGAAAAAGAAGTTTTATTACTTTGTGCATAACTTTTTTTAAGTTCTAATGGCTTAATTTATTGTTTATTTAGAAAAATAACAAAAGAAAGAAATGAAAAATAACCTGTGTGTGCCAGTTTTAGATAGAATAATAAGAAATTCTCTAAGCATATATAAGAACCTGGGTTGGTGCTGTGGCATAGTGCGTGTAGCCACCCTACAGAACTGTCATCCTATGTGGATGCTGATTCAAGTCCCATCTGCTCCATTTTTGATCCAGCTCCTGCTAAGGGCCTGGGAAAGTAGTGGAAAATGTCCCAAGTGTTTGGGTCCCTGCACCCATATGGTAGAAGGGGAAGAAGCTCCTGGCTTCTGGCTTTGGATTGGCCCAGCTCCCAGCATTCCCGGGAGTGAACCAGCGCATGGAAGATCTCTCTCCTCTCTCTCTTCTCTTTCTCTCTAACTGTGCCTTTCAAATAAATAAATAAATAAGTATTAAAAACAAAAAACCTGTGACTCAATCTATCACATACTGCTTAGAGCAGAATCGAAGGGACTTAATCGTTTCCTGCAGATGGGAGATCAGCCGTTTTTTAGTTCATAAACCTATGAGAAGCAAGTTTACAATAATGGTAATGACAAATATTAATTGAAAATTTATAGTATAGTTGGCCAGCGCCCCTAATCCTCTGCCTGCGGCACTGGCACTCTGGGTTCTAGTCCTGGCTGGGGTGCTGGTTCTGTCCAGGTTGCTCTTCTTCCAGTACAGCTCTCTGCTGTGGCCCGGGAAGGCAGTGGAGGATGGCCCAAGTGCATGGGCCCTGCACCGGCATGGGAGACCAGGAGGAAGCACCTGGCTCCTGGCTTCGGATTGGCGCAGTGCACCGGCCATAGCAGCCATTTGTGGGGTGAACCAACAGAAGGAAGACCTTTCTCCCTGTCTCTCTCTTTCTAACTCTGCCTGTCAAAAAAAAAAAAAAAAAAAGGAAATTTATAGTATAGTGATCAGTAGATTTTTTAAAAAATCTTATCATGCTGTGAAGTAGGTTATAAATAGCTCTGATGGATAAGAAAACACACTTAGTGAATTAAAAGGAATTTCCCAATTTTATATGTCTAATAAATGGTGGTGCTGGAATTCAAACCAAGGAGTCTTACTCCCAGAACAGACCTATAGCACATGCTGGTATATGTTTGTTCACAGAAAAGACACAGTGAGCTCTGCATAAAAATACAGATAGAAATTTTGAAAGGTTAAATTGACTTTTATCACCTGCACTCATATTTCACGGGTGTAATTTTCACTAAAATAACAAGTTATTACATGAGCATTTCCTATTCCTTTTCTTCTCCCATCAAATCAGACTACAAAGTCTCACAAAGCTAATGGCTTACAGTATCTAGTTTCTATCTATTTCCTGTCCTAGTGCTGTTAAGACTTTATATTCTGGAGACTTTACATACTTGCCAGTGCAGACGTAAAATATTTCCACTATGGCAGAAATTTCTAGTGGACAGCACTGACTTAGATATCAGCATTTAAATTTTTTAACGTCTTCAAAGCTGTTAAGTAGTATCTGACATACCAAACCATTTGTCATTTGTAAATAAGCCATTTGTAAATAAGCCATTACATCCTCTGATTATCATCTTAGTTGCATGGAGCTGCATTACAAGAGGGTTTCCTATCCTTTTTATTCTTCCATCAAATCAGACTATGACATCTACACACTAAAGTTATGTGAGTGAAGCAGGGTCACATGAGATTCGGTTTTCACAATTTAAAAAAATTCAATTGCATTTACTTAAATTACCACATTGGTACTTTAAAAATTTTCTCTATCAGAAAATGCAAACACTGCACTCAAGTTATGGAAAACTAGAAAATGTGAAAAATAGAGAGGAAAATAGACAGATATACAAATGAATGTAAAGAAAAAAAAGTGAAACGACATGCACATGTAAATAATCCTAGCAGTACAGAGTCCAGTGTAAATTTTTAGAAATTCAGAAAAGTGGAAAACATAGATATTGTTCAAAAATTTAAACACTTTCCTCATGTATGCCAGTATTGTGGTATAGCAGGTAAAGCTGATGCCTGCAAAGCCGGCATCCCATAAAGGAACTGGTTCACGTCTTGGCTGTTCCACTTCCAATCCAACTCCCTGCTAATCTCAAGAGAAAAGCAGTAGAAGATGGCTCAAGTGTTAGGGCCCCTACCACCCATGTGGGACACCTGGATGAAGCCTCTGGCTCTTGGCTTCAGCCTGCTCCAGCTCCAGCCATTGTGGCTACCTGGGGAGTGAACCAACAAATGGAAGACCTTTCTTCTATCTCTCTTTCCCTGTAACTCTGATTTTCAAATAAATAAGTAAATATTTTTAAAAAATCTGTTAACCCAAGACATGTATATTTGTTTCATACAAAATAACTATTTCAACTAAAGGAAAGACAAAACCTAAGAGAAGAATTATGTTGGAAGAGAACAATAAGGGCAAAGAATCTCTTAAAGAATCTACAGGGATAAGGATAAGACAGGGATAAAGGACATAAGGAAAGGCTGGAAGCAATTTATTTGAAATCAGAATCTAAGTAACTATAAAAGTTTTTTGAAATATTCAATAAATATCACCTATTTATTAAATATATGCATTTTACAAATACTATTTTGATACTGTACTAATAATCAGAAATTTTCATTATGAAACAAATTCTCCTACAATTCAAGAACACACAAAGAACCTCCTTAGCAAGTTACATCCAATGGTAGAGACCTACTGCTCCAGAAAAAGTGTTTGAATGCAAATAAAATAACTTACTTCTTACTTAAAAAGATACTCATCCTCAAAATACAAGGTCAAAATTAAGTCTTAAAAAATTAAGATCTTGGGGCTGGCGCAGTGACGTTACAAGTAAAGCCACTTCTGCAGTGCCGGTTCAAGTCCTAGGCACTCTACTTCCTATCCAGCTCTCTGCTATGGCCTGGGAAAGCAAAATAAGATGGCCCAAGTCTTTGGGCCCTGCACCCGCCTGGGAAGACCCAGAGGAAGCTCCTGGCTCCTGGCTTTGGGTTGGTGCAGCTACAGCCATTGCAGCAAATTGGGGAGTGAACCAGCTGATGGAAGAACTCTCTCTTTGCCTCTCCTTCTCTCTCTGTGTAACTCTGACTTTCAAATAAATAAATCTTTAAAAAAAATTAAGATCTTTTAATGAGGTGATAATTCATATGGACTTAACTCTGCAATATTTTCTAAGACTTTATGAAACATTTTGTAATGCATTTCAATCTTTGATCATAAAAAATAATCTGAAACTTGTGTAAAGGGTTTCCAATGACAAAGCCTTACTGAAAAAAAGGTGGACTACACTGCCTCCTAGTGTACAGTTGAAATATATCTGAATAAAACAAAATAATGCTTAGAAAACATTTAAAACAAAATGTTTTAACAGTTATGGTATATATCAACAGTAGCCATTATAACTTTTATAACATTATATGCAAACTATATTAATAGTCAAAATAGAATATCTGGAATGCAATAATCTAAAAACATATTAGTTATGAAACAGAACATTAAATACTTCCTAAGAAACAATCTCTAAGCATATTTTTTGAAAAACAGGCAGGAATTATATAAAATAAATAGAAATTTATTTATTTAAAATAAACCATCTGTATTTTTATGCAGAGCTCACTGTGTCTTTTCTGTGAACAAACATATACCAGCATGTGCTATAGGTCTGTTCTGGGAGTAAGACTCCTTGGTTTGAATTCCAGCACCACCACTTATTAGACATATAAAATTGGGAAATTCCTTTTAATTCACTAAGTGTGTTTTCTTATCCATCAGAGCTATTTATAACCTACTTCACAGCATGATAAGATTTTTAAAAAAAATGTACTGACCATTATACTATAAATTTTTCTTTTTTTTGACAGGCAGAGTTAGACAGTGAGAGTTAGTTAGACATCTAAATGGTAGATCAGTTCTTAATATAGCAAAATATCCCTCTCCTCTTTACTAAAAAAAAAAAAAAGAAAGGAAACTTAAGTACTATATTGAACAATGTTTACATACTGAAAATACATTTTTTTTTTTTTGACAGGCAGAGTGGACAGTGAGAGAGAGAGACAGAGAGAAAGGTCTTCCTTTTGCTGTTGGTTCACCCCCCAATGGCCGCAGTGGCCAGCGCATCATGCTGATCCGCAGCCAGGAGCCAGGTGCTTCTCCTGGTCTCCCATGTGGGTGCAGGGCCCAAGCACTTGGGCCATCCTCCACTGCCTTCCCGGGCCACAGCAGAGAGCTGGCCTGGAAGAGGAGCAACCGGGACAGAATCCAGTGCTCCAACAGGGACTAGAACCCGGTGTGTCGGCGCCACAGGCGGAGGATTAGCCTATTGAGCCGTGGTGCCAGCTGAAAATACATATTTTGAACATATTTTTACTTTAGTGAAATACGACATATTTGCTCATTTATGAATGTATTTATGTGAAAAAACTAAAACAATCCTCAATGATGAAAATGCTATCTATTCCCTGAGTATCAGTCAAAGTCTAGGTTTGTCAAGAGTTGAGTAAGGAAACATTAATTGTGAAACAGCAAGAAAAGAGGGTGTTTAGTCTGGTGGTTAAATTGCTCACTAGGACACCCTCATTCCATATGGGAGTGCCTTCGTTTGAGTCCTGGCTGGGCTCCTGACACCCAGATTCTTGCTACCCTGTACTCTGGGTCTCAGCAGGTGATGGCTCAAGTAATTGGATCTCTGCCACTCCTCTGGGAGTCCTGGATCACATTCTGGCTAGTGGCTTTGATCTAGCTTAGCCTGGCCACCGTGTATTCGGGAAGTGAACCACTGGATAGGGGTTCTGTCTAGTTCTCTCGTTCTAAACAAACAAACAGCGGACTTTTTTTTTTTTTTAGCAGTACTGGAGACTAACAATATGGATCAGAATTTCAGTATATAACCCAAATGAGTAAGTAAATAAAGCCTCAAAAAAGGGAAAGAAGATTGTAATTGAAATTAGGAACTCAATAAAAATCAGATTAACCAGACAGAGAATTGGAACACAGATATAAAAGAATTACTTAGGATGCAGCACAGAGAAGGAAGCCATGAACAACCGAGAAGCAATGAATCATGCACAATGAAATGAGACTTCAGGAAATATAATCAGATTTCCAAAGGGAAAGAACAAAGAGGGAATAAAGAGAAGCAATATCAGAAGATATAAAATTTAATAAATTTCCAGAACTGAATACACCAATCCACAAACAAAATAAAGACTCTAAAAGAAACATATGAAAATGAAAGCCAAAGAAAAGATCTTAAAAGTATTCAGAAAGAAGTCACAACACAAATAATTAAACTAATATCCAACTTACATATACCAATAAGAGAATCTAAAATCTATTTGAATAAATTTCAAAAGGTGGAGAAAAAAATTTATTATCTGAAACTGTATACAGAGTAAAACTATCTTTTCAAGAATGAAAGCAGAAATACAGAAGGTAGTTTTAGATAAAAAGGTGAGTTAAGTATTAAGAGACTATTACTATGGCAGTAACAGTAGGAAGCACTACAAGGAGAAGGAAACCGAACCCAGAAGGCAGACTGAACTATAAGAAAGGACTGTCATCAAAGAAAATCATAAAAAATCATGGGGCTGGCATTGTGGTGCAGCAGGTAATGCTGCCGCCTGCAAAGCTGGCGTCCAGTACGGGCTATGGTTCTAGTCCAGCTGTTCTACTTCCAATCCAGCTCCCTGCTAATGGCCTGAGAAAAGCAGCAGAGGATGGGCATGGCCCCCTGTCAGCATGGAAGACCTGGAAGAAGCTCCTGGCTCCTGGCTTTGGCTTGGTGTAGCCCTGGTCATTAGGGCCACCTTGAGGGTGAACCACTGGATGGAAGACCTCTGTTTCACCCTTCTCCTTCTGTAACTCTGAATTTCAAATAAATAATACAAATCTTAAAATCATAAAAAATAATAGGACACAGCATTAAAAAGAATGTCTCACTGAAAAAAAATTATAAAAAATCTTGAACAGAGAAAGCATATAGTTTAGGAGAAAGGGTGAGTACTAAACATCCTCTAAGAATCTTGATTTGCATTGAAGGAAGTTAAAGATATTAACTTCAGCCCTCCAACAAACTAGTTTAATCAATTCAAAGGAGGGCAGAAAACAGGAGGTGAAAGAAAATAAATCTATATATTGCTTACAATAATACAGGACTACCTGAGGATTTAACAATGGCAAATGATATACCAGGCTAACACTACTCAAAAGGTAGGTGGCAGACACAGTAATATCAGAAAAAAATAGACCTCAGAGTATAAAAAGCTTTACTGGAGACATAGGGCCAATACATACTGACCCTGGTCCACTCTTTAGGAAGGTATAACCCCAAACCTAAAACTTATACAAAACTTTCAAAATACTCAGAGCAAAAATTGACAGACCTATAAGCTCATACTTTTAATTCTATTTTTCCAAGAACTTTCTCAAGAACCCTTATACAAATCTCTCTCTCTACAAGACATTTTCACTAAATTCATCATATTTTAGGAAATTATGTAGGTATCAAGAAATTAAAAAGACCAGAATTCTTCTAAATGTGAATTACAATAGTCAATAAAGATAAAACTGAATAATGAAAATAATACTTATCAAAGTTTACATAATATAGCTTAGATGAAGCATTTGTAACCTTGAATACTAGCTACATTAGAAAAGAGGGGAGATTAAAAAAAATAACTGAATCAATCTTTCCTTGGATGATAAATAAAAAAATACAGACTTACTGCCACTGGATCCTTCTGGTGAAGTTCAGCAGCTGTTACTTGTCTAAATCCACCTGGGTAACTGTTAAAAGGAGCAAGACATTAGAACTGTATTATTTTTAAAAAAGTTAATTTATTTACTTACTTAAAAGACACAAAGGGGGAGAGACAGACATAGAGCGATTTTCCATTCACTGGTTCACTTTCCAAATGCTTGGACCAGCTGGGGCGGGGCCAGACTGAAGCCAGAAGCCAGAAACTTCACACAAGTCTTCATGTGGGTAGCAGAAACTCAACACCTGAGCTACCATTTGATGCTTCTGTGGATGCAGTAGAAGGAAGCTGGATTGGAAGCAAAGGTAGAACTCATTCCCACTTTGATATGGGCTGCATGTGTCCCAAGCTGCAACTTAACCTGCTATGCCACAATACCCACTGAGTACTATCTTCTTAAACTGATTATTCTTTTGTAATAAGAAAACCATATTAATAACTTATACTCTTTTTCAAAACTATGCTGCTTATTAATGACTTAAAAATTATACATGGGGCCAACATTGTGGCACAGTGGGTTAAGTTGTCGCTTGACGACATCGGCATCTCATAATGGAGCACCAGTTTGAGTTTTAGCTTCTCTGCTTCTGATCCAGTTCCCTGGTACTGTCTGGGAAGGTGTCTGGGAAGGCAGCATTAAATGGCTCAAGTACTTGGGCCCCGCCACTCACACAGGAGATTCAGATGTAGTTTTAGGCTCCAGCCATGCAAGCCCTGGCTGCTGCAGCCATTTAGGGAGTAAACCAACAGATGGAAGATTCTTTCTCTCTCCCTCCTTCTCTTTCTGTCAAATAAACAAAGAAACAAATAAATCTTTTTTTAAAAAAACAGATTTAAAAAATATCACATAGTAACCTATTATTTGAAATGCCATTCTCTTAAGTAGTCAATGATAATGCCTTCATAAAAAGTTTTATACCTTTACAAATTCTTAGCATAACTATTTTTAGATATGAATTTTCATTCGTTCAGACATACGTTTATAATAGGATAGCATATCAATGCCTGGCCTGTGGGGAGCAATCTGGACTGGACTGAGTTACTGGAATTAAGACTTATTCTATGCATCTGCTCTCCCACAATATGGCGCTGGGAGAGAAGTAAACAGCTTCCGCACAGCTGCCTCCAGTTCAGCTAATAAACTGTAGGACTTGCTCCTGATTGGAGGAGAGCAGCGTACTCGGCGTGTGGGCAGCCGAGTTAGGATTGGCGGAGGAGGACTATAAAGGAGGAGAGAGACGGCATGCACCAGGAACATCTAAGGGGAACATCTAGCTGAAGGAACACCTGTGCAGCCCCCGGGAAGAGCCGGCCGGCGGTGTGCCGCTCCCCTGCGGAAGTGGGGAATGTGGCCAGGGGGAACTGCCCTTCCACGGAGGTGGAAGGGATAGTAGCCAACTCGGGAAGAACCAGCAGCAAACCCGGGGAGGGCCGAGCAGACGAAAGAACAGCGCAGGGTCCTGTGTCGTTCCTCCACGAAGAGGGGGAGCGACACTGGCCAGATTAGACAAACTGTATAAACTAGGGATGAGGTCTGGAGAACATAGTTGCAGATCACTTGTTCTCAAGTCAAGTTCACACTATAAAGAGATAATGATCCTGTTTTCTCTTAACAGTTGTTAGCAGGTCATTAAGGTATACAATGACCCTAAGTAATAAAATATTTTTCTGAGTTCAAATCCAACATTATATATAAAATGGATAAACTGGAAATTTAAAAAAAGTTAGTGGATGGGCACTTGGTGAAGTGGTTAAGACGCTGCTTGGGATGCCCATATCTCATATAGGAGTGCATGGGTCTGAGTCTGGCCTTGTGAGTCCAGTTTCCTGCTGATGTGTACCCTGGGAGGCAGAGTCAAGTACTTCAGTCCCTGCCACCCATGTGGGAGACCTGGACTGAAACCAGTCTCCTGGTTTCACCCTGGCCCAGTTCCTGATGTTGTGAGCACTTGGAAGTGAACCAGAAGGTAACACAACTCTTTTTTTTTTGTCTGTCTCTGTCTCTCTGTGCTTTTCAAATAAATATTTTATTTCTTTTTTCAAAAATTTTATTTAAGCTATACAAGTTTCATGTATTTCATATACACAGATTTGGGAACATAGTGACACTTTCTCCACTTCCCTCCCTCCCAACCATGTTCCATCTCTTCGTCCTCCTGCCTTACATTTTTAAAAAAATGGTATAGTATTGAAGACACTTTAATAACTCAAATACTCCAAATCCAGCTCTGGAATCTTGACTTTCTCAGTGACTCCTGGTACTAACAGGGAAGTTGTTTTACCCATCCATCATCCATGTATGGTTTTAACTTAGAGTTAAAAAAAAAAAAGTCAAACTCTGCCACATCTACCTCACACAATTTCTGAGCAAAATTAGAAAGTGTGCATGAAAGGGCTTATGATATTGAAAACAGAAACAGTACACAGAAGGAGGTTTTATTATCCTGAATAGATGAACAAAATTTTAAATGATTTTTTGGAAAGGGTGAAATAATATTGGAAAGCTACTGGATTCTGCAAGAAAAATGTAAGGTTATCTAACTGTGATTCTTCTCATAAATTCTTTCCACAGAGTTTTAAAACATTTTAAAGATGATTAAAGTACCAGATTTTAATAATAAAACTTAAGGAACCAAATTTAGAAGTTTGCTGAGAAAGATGGGTAACCATCAAACTGATACTCTTTTGTTTAATGGAATTTCAGTTTTAGAAAAATAAATTTCTGTCAAGACTTCTATTCCTGTACTGTTTCTCTGTATGGAAAAAAAAAAACTATTATGCTACAGGTTGTTTTTCTATTTTTAACATTGAGATGGCAAATTCTAAAGTATAATACCACTTACGCTATATTTGAGAGGTTTGGACTATTCTGAAGGATTTGGAAAACTAATGTAAAATTCTAAGAAAGGAAATAACTTGAGTAATACAATATTCAGTTGATTTTTTACTAGTGAAGAAATGACTGCATTTCCTTGTCCAGTATGAAATAACTGGATGTCGTAAGAGAAAATTTGTTTTAAATGCTAGCTGAGAATTTAAATTATTAAATTAATGCAATAAACACTGAACTGACTGTGTACTACGCTGGGTTTTTGGAATGTACAGATAAATATGACAGAATCTTGTCCTCAAGAAAAATGACTAAATACTGTTGATACAGCCAGAAGTAAGCTGCACCTTCAATTAATGCTAACACATTTTAAGTGAATAAACAGTTGGATGTAAAAGTTTAAGGTGCATGTATGTCCCACTCACCCAACTCCTAAAAAATGAGAAGTGAATGTTTTCGAAATATGTGGACCAAAAAGGAGTTTATGAGATTGGAAGACAGAAACAAACACAAAGCAAAAAAGCAAATTTAATCATAAAAATTAAAGAGGGTAAAGGACATTATGAAGAAAATTCATTAAAAGTAAAATATGAAGTAGTGGATCAATATTCTTGATAATGTTTACAGAAAGTGATAAGGAAAGCACAGAGATCTCATTATTATGCAAATACAAGCAATCAGATGCTCATCAAAGCAGAACTGCTCTGTTAAACTATTGTATTAATGTGAAAAATAATAGGAAAAATAATGCAAAACATTTTCACAATTATGTTGTGTCCTAGGATGACATTCTAATATGTTTAAGCAACAATAAACTGATATTTGAAAATGCCTATTAAAAGACCTACAAGTGATCATTTTTTTGATTCTGAAATTCATTTTTTCATGAGATTTTCATTTCAAAAAATAGAGCAATGATTAATTATGATAAATTATATTATACAGTACTACATAGTGACCAAAAGTAAAACTTACAAAAGGCTTCTCTAAAAGTTTTATATTAAAGAAAATAAATAAATAAATAAAAAAGGCCAGCGCTGTGGCTCACTTGGCTAATCCTCTGCCTGTGGCACCGGCACCCAGGGTTCTAGTCCCGGTTGGGGTGCCGGGTACTAGTTCCAGTTGCTCCTCTTCCAGTACAGCTCTCTGCTGTGGCCTGGGAAGGCAGTGGAGGATGGCCCAAGTGCGTGGGTCCCTGCACCCGCATGGGAGACCAGGAGGAAGCACCTGGCTCCTGGCTTCGGATCGGCGCAGTGCTGGCCGTGGCAGCTATTGGGGAGTGAACCAACGGAAGGAAGACCTTTCTCTCTGTCTCTCTCTTACTGTCTATTTAACTCTCTCTCTGTCTCTCTCACTGTCTAACTCTGCCTGTCAAAAAAAAAAAAAAAAGAATTTTATATTAAATGAAAAAGGATATGAACTTTTATATTTAAATGTGAAGCCATGAGATCAGAGATGAACTTTATTTCCTTCTTTACACTTTCCTGTTTCTTCTAATATTAGCATGCATTAAAATTTTCATAATTTTCAAAGTTAATTTTTTTAAAGATTTATTTATTTATTTGAAAGGCAGAGCTACAGAGAGGCAGAGGCAGAGAGAGAGAGAGAGAGAGAAAGGTTTTCCATCCACTCCCCAGATGGCCACAAGGGCCAGAGCTGCGCCAATCTGAAGCCGGGAGCCAGAAGCTTCCTCCGGGTATCCCATGTGGGTGCAGGAACCCAAGGACATGGCCATCTTCTGTTTTCCCAGGCCATAGCACAGAGCTGCATTGGAACTGGAGCAGCCAGGACTCAAACCAGTGCCCATATGGGATGCCAGCATTGCAGGTGGAGGCTTTACCAGCTATGCCACAGCACTGGACCCCAAAGATAAATTTTGATAAATAATTGTAATGCAGTGTTATGAGCCTAATAAAGTCATATATCCAAGGTCTAAGTGGAAAGCCAGCAGAAATAGAAAAAACAGAAAATAGTTACCGCAATACTTGATGAGAACATGCGTATTATTATCATTATTATATAGCATGAGTAAAATCAACATTTTCAAAATACCAACTTTTAACTTTTTTTTAATAAACAGTAACACTCATAGTATTCTTACAGTAATATATTATAACTTCCATTTTCCTTGACAAAGGTATTTTTCTCTTACCCAGTATGTGAGGAGTATACTTTTTGTTCCCATTTGTTTCCAGAAAATGCAATGTGTCTTGTGTTCATTATGACAACATGATCCCCACAGTCACCTAAATTGAAAAAAAAAGATTTTATATGAAAAAAAAATCGTAAGAAATAAATGTCCTTATTTATAAAACTTATCAAAGTTCATAAAATATACTAAAAAATAAAAAGGAAGTTACAGTACAACATTAAAAAAACTTTGAATAGACTTCTCTCTCTCTTTTTTTTATATAACTTTATATAAATATAGAAAGAACTGGCTGGCCATTTGGAAAATCTCAACCCTATAAAGTGAAATTTAATAAAGATTCCAACAACAATACACTTCAAAAGGGAGATTCCTTTATTCCTATTACTCTTCCCATTAGTAATTATACTTTACATAAAATCATTTATTTAAGTATGTTTAAATTTCTGATACAAATTTTCCCTTAAAAAGAGTCAAAAAAATGAAAACAATATGCATATAGATGTAACAAAAAGTAGGTTTGATTAAGTAAATTGAAAACAAATATGATACATTATAATTGATTATTCTTTTCATATTTAGAGAACAATAGAGCACTATGACCTTAGGCTTAACTATTGCCTCAAGGCCTTTGCAAATCACATTTAGCTAGCTTAAGTTGAAACTGCCACTCTCAAATATAACTAGAAATACATTTGACAGATGACCTGAAAACCAAAATATATTTATAGCATTAATTTTCTACTGAAAGATACCCCTAAATTTGGTTGTTCATACAAAAACAAACCAAAAAGTCAACAAGTAATTTTTTTTTAAAGATTTATTCATTTATTTGAAAGGCAGAGTTACAGAGAGAGGAGAGATCTTCCATCTGCTGGTTCATTTCCCAAATAGCTGTGGGGCTCCCACATGGGTGCAGGGGCCCAAGTATATGGGCCATCTTCTGCTGCTTTCCCAGGCACAATACCAAGGAGCCGGATCAGAAGTGGAGAGCCCAGGACTTGTACCAGCACTCATATGGGATGCTGGTATTGCAGGCAGAGGCTTACTCCACTGTGTCGCAATGCCAGCCCCAACATCTAAGTTTTCATATGAATCATCAGGCATGACAAAATCAAGGACAGTTCTCAGTCCTGCAGCCTGGGTGTTTTGACCCATATTCTCCTTTAAGCCATAACTCACAGGTTTTCCTCAAATTTGTCCAGGAGGAGAAGTTAACATTTATTCGTATCTTCCTTAGGCAAGGAAGTGAGCAAGGAAATTTATTTTCACTTTCTAACACTGAGCATGTTACAACTAACCTGTCAGATTGACTTTGTTGTACTCTCTGTCTCCCACCACTAAGATTTTTTTGAATCAGATAACACATTAAAATGGCTAAATTATATGGCTGGTATGTGGTGAAGTCAAGTTTCAAATCCAACTCTTAGAACTGTTACTCTTTTTACCACTCTGGTCAGTAAGAAGGGATGCGTGTAATGCCATGTGGAGCCAATGGTACCACTCAATAGTCAATCACACCACCTTTTCTGCCTGCTTCTAAAATCTCAGAAATCCTTCTTAACATGCTGGGAAACATGCTAGGAGAGAGTGAAAGTGGTTTGTATTGGCACTTCACCACGTACCAGTTCCTCAGGTATTCAAAGAGACCTACAGATAGGATAAAATTTTCTAGCCTTATTTCTGAGCCCTTTCCCATGCCATGGTATGTGCCAGATAAGCCATACCACTTGCTATTTTTCATCATCCCTATTCAACACGCACATACACACACACACACACACACACAGGCATGCTTAAACACATTCTCCAGTCTTTAATTTTGGTCTTTGTTCCTTCCACAAGGAATGCTCTTTTGATTTATCTAATTTATTAAATTTTATCCATATTTCAAGGTCCAACATAAATATCATTTTTTCATAAAGCCTTTCCCAATACTAAAATAAATTTCCTTTGACTCTTTAAAGATGACTAAATTTCTTCTAGGTACAGGGTTAACTATAAATTGTTCTAGCATTTTATAACTTTACACCTTCCAACTAGATTATAAGTTCCTGCTGCAGACTCTTTTTTTTTTTTGACAGGCAGAGTGGAGAGTGAGAGAGAGAGAGACAGGGAGAAAGGTCTTCCTTTACTGTTGGTTCACCCTCCAATGGCCGCTACGACCAGAACGCTGCAGCTGGCGCACCACACTGATCTGAAGCCAGGAGCCAGGTGCTTCTCCTGGTCTCCCATGTGGGTGCAGGGCCCAAGGACTTGGGCCATGCTCCACTGCACTCCGGGGCCACAGCAGAGAGCTGGACTGGAAGAGGGGCAACTGGGACAGAATCCGGCGCCTCGACTGGGACTAGAACCCAGAGTGCCGGCGCTGCAGGCAGAGGATTAGCCTAGTGAGCTGCGGCGCCGGCCCCTGCTGCAGGCTCTTAATTGTAGGTCCCCTATATAATAATAGGGCCTTCAGTCACATTAAGTGCTGATGGCACATTAAGTGATACAGTCCCTGATGTTGCATATATTTAGGGAGCGAACCACCAGATGGAAGACCTGCTCTCTCTCTGTAACTCTGTCTTTCAAGTAAATAAATAAGTCATTTTTTTAAAAAAGAAAAGCATCATAGACTTATAAGGAAGAATACTTAAGATTAGATCATATCTGATCTTTGCTGAATTGTCTGTGGGCTAGCATTCATGATATTAATTTTAAGAACTGAAAGCAAGACCTAGAGTAACTTAAGCTCTTTCATTTTTAGTTTTTTTTTTTAAAGGTTTTATTTATTTGAAAGAGTTACAGAGAGAGGTAGAGATAGAGAGAGAGGTCTTCCATCCACTGGTTCACTCCCCTGATGGCTGCAATGGCCAGTAATGTTAAAGAGAGGTTTCCCTTTGCTTCTTTTTCTTTTAAATTCTCTTATAGTCCTCTAACTACTTAATTGGTGGGCAGTGAACGTAGAGTACTCATGAAGAGTAAGTCCCACTGCACAAATCACATGCCCATTCTTTTGATTTACTGGTACAAGAAGAAAAATATTCAAGAGCTCCTAACGCCCAAAATCTGAGGAGCAGCTCTAAACAGAGGAGGAGGAAATTATTTTCCTAGTTTCCCGTTATTACCATCTTGGCCCATATTTTTGATAAAAAATAAACTTATAAATGGAAGGTTGGTTTTCTCCAATATTTCATAAAGATCTATTTGATATTTTCCTGGGAAATTGTAACCAATTTTCAAATAAACATGCTTATAGCGATTATGATCCCATAACACTTAATACATGCTTATAAAACACGTAAATGTAGGGGCCGGCGCTGTGGTGTAGCAGGTAAAGCTGCCGCCTGCAGTGCTGGCATCCCATGTTGCTGCCAGTCTGGGTCCTGGCTGCTCCTCTTCCAATCCAGCTCTCTGCTGTGGCCTGGGAGGGCAGAGGAGGATGGCCCGGGTTCTTGGGCCCCTGCACCTGCATGGGAAACCTGAAGGAGGCTCCTGGCTCCTGGCTTCAGATTAGCCCAGCTCTGCCTCTTGTGGCCATTTGGGGAGTACCAGCGGATGGAGGGCCTCTCTGTCTCTCTTTCTCTGCCTCTCTTTAACTCTGCCTTTCAAATAAATAAGTGAATAAATCTATAAGAAAACAAAACAAAACAAAAAGCCCAAGTAAATGTTAGAAATAAACTCTTCAAACATACCATGTTTTCAATTGAAAAATCACTTGCAATTTAAGTTTCGAATTTAGTGACACCTTGTGGACATAAGGAGTCATGTTGATATAGATCATATTAAATATAGTGAAACAAAAATGTAATTCAGTCTTTTATGATGTAACAAATACATGATACTAATATAAGATTAATATAGGGGAAGCTGGGCCTGATATATGGAAACTCTGTACTACTTTAAAATTTTTTATTTTGTAAATTTAAAAATGTTCTGAAATAACAAGTTAAAAATATTTTTAAAAGGTTAATTTCTTGGGGCTGGCGTTGTGGTATAGTGGGTTAAGCTGCTGCCTGTGATGTTGGCAACTCATATGAGTGCTGGTTCCAGTCCTGGCTGCTCCATTTCCAATCCAGCTTCCTGCTACTGTGCCTGGGAAAGCAGTGGAAGATGGTGTGAGCCTTTGAGCCCTGCTACCCATGTAGGGGACCTGGATGGAGTTCCATTGGGCCATCTGGGGAGTGAGCCAGCAGATGGAAGATCTCTTCTCTCTCTGTCTCTCCCTCTCTCACTGTAAGTCTGCCTTTTAAATAAATAAATGTTTTTTAAAAAAGGAAAAAAGAAAAAAAGTTAATTTCTCATTTTTAGAAACTTGACATTTTTAGAAACCAAGTACTCTTTTGATATTATAGCAGAATGCTTGGTCTCCAGTATCTAAGAAATGCTTTTTAATAATGACCTGCTTTGTAAGGAAGACAAGTGTAGCTGAATGACAGCAAGAAACTCATTTTATTCTTCTGATCTTAGTTTTCTCATCTGTCAATGAGGCAGTTAAGCAAAAATATCTACTGTCCTAAAGAAATAAAATTGTTAATTTTATAGGCATAACATTTTTCTGGTCTGCCAAAACATGTTATAAGCAAATAATTGGTTTATTACTAGTGAACATATACAAATTTACTTTCAAAACAGCTGATCTCAGATCAGCTTCACAGATTCTGTATTTGCAAATTTGCTTAATTGTTATTTTCAGCTGAGACTGAACAAAGCACTTTACCTTCTTGTTTCACTTCTCATTTTGAAAAAGATAATCACAGCTGATATGTGGGGAAAGGATTATACGGGGCAGTGGCAGAAGTCGAGAAATCAGTGAAAAGACTTTAGGAATAAAACATGATAGTGTACAGCAGTTTAAACTAGTGAGGAAGGCAGAGATGACGAAAGGTACCATATTCCAGATTTTTTTTATGAAAAGTTTCAAAATCAATTTTTGGGAAGTGGGTTATTGAATAAAGTGGAGTTTGCAGATAATGCAAAGGCTTCAAACCTGAACAAAAAGGAGGGCAGAAATATAATTAATTGAGGCTGAGGAAAACTGAGAAGAAAGAGGCTGGTTTAGACTGGGGAGACCAGGAAGCAAGCCATATCCAAGTGGATATTCATTAGTGATGTTTACTAGATACCCAAGAGGATCTGCTACTTACTCATTAGTGAAGTCTACTAGATACTGAAGAAATTTGGTTATGTGAGTCTAGAATACACAGAAAGGATCAAAATGGGAGACAAACATTTGTAGGTATTAGGATTCAGAATATTTACAGAACTGAGAATGGGGTCACCTAAGGAATGCAAAGAGGTCCAAAGATGGGGCCTGTGGCACTCCCAACTTTTAGTGAGAAAAAAAAAAAAAGTTTAGAAAGTTGAAGACAACAAAGGAGCCTTAGATTTATGGAGAAGAAACAGAGAATGGCATCCTGAGAAAAAATAAAGGTGTGGAAATTAGCTGCACTACTGAGTTACTGGAAAGAAAAATAGAAGATTGTTCCACATTAAAAGAGACTAAAAAGGGCCTTGCTGTGGCATAGCAGGTAAAGCTGCTGCCTGAAGCACCGGCATCCCATATGGGCAGGAGTTCTAGCCTTGGCTGCTCCTCTTCCAATCCAGCTCTCTGCTATGGTCTGGGATAACAGTAGAAGATGGCCCAAGTCCTTGGGCCCCTGCACCCACGTGGGAGACCCGGAAGAAGCTCCTGGCTCCTGGCTTCCGATTGGTGCAGCTCTGGCCATTGCAGCCATCTGGGGGAGTGAACCAATGGATGGAAGACCCCTCTCTCTCTCTCTGCCTCTCCTCCCTCTGTGTAACTCTGACCTTCAAATATATAAAATAAATACTTAATAAAAAAAGAGAGAGACTAAAAGAACATAAAAACTAAAGGCAATTAAGAAACATTGGTTGGATCCTAGATAAAAAACAAATAGCAAATAAGAAACAGTCTTGGGACAACTAAGGAATTTTAAAAATGCACTGAACAATAGACCATAGGATCAAACTGTTTATTTTCTTAGGGGTGACAATGGCATTTTGGTTATGTTGCAGAACATCTTTTTTATTTATTTATTCATTTGAAAGGCAGAGTTACAGAGAGGCAGAGGCAGAAAGAGAGAGAGGTCCTCCATCCACCGGTTCTCTCCCCAAATGGCCACAACGGACACAGCTGGACCAATCCAAAGCCAGGAGCAAAGAGCCCTCTCCAAGTCCCCCACACTGGTACAGGGGCCCAAGGACTTGGGCCACCTTCCACTGCCTTCCCAGGCCATAGCAGAGAACTGGATCGGAAGTGGAGCAGCCGGGTCTCGAATTGGCGCCCACATGGGATGTTTGCATATGCTACGCCATAGCACCCACCCAGAGAACATTTTTATTATTTTGAGATATGTGCTAAGAACTTAGGGAGAGAAATAATGGCATCTGAAGCTTGTTTTCAAATGGTTGAGTGAAAAAACATGTTGTGGTAAAATATTAACAGTTGTGTAACCCAGGTGAAGAGAATAAAATAATTCACTGTACTATGAATTTTTCTGAAAGTTTAAAAGCTTTTATATCAAAAGAAAGAAAAGACAAACAACCCAGCAGAAAAAAGGGCAAAACACATGTACATTTACAGAAAAGGACATATCAAGGCTAATAAACAAAAAGCCATTCAACCATATTTGTAATAAGGACAATACAAATTAAAGCCACAGAGCCACATCATTTGGCCATCTACCACAGCAGTCAAAATTACAAAGAATGAAAATGTCAAATGTTACTGAATGGAAACTATTACATGCTTTTAGCAGGAGAGGACACTGGCATAAAGACTCGGTAGTTGGCCAACGCCGCGGCTCAATAGGCTAATCCTCCACCTAGTGGCGCCGGCACACTGGGTTCTAGTCCTGGTCGGGGCGCCGGATTCTGTCCCGGTTGCCCCTCTTCCAGGCCAGCTCTCTGCTGTGGCCCGGGAAAGCAGGGGAGGATGGCCCAAGTGTTTGGGCCCTGCACCCCATGGGAGACCAGGAGAAGCACCTGGCTCCTGCCTTCGGATCAGCGCGGTGCGCCAGCCGCAGCGCGCCAGCTGTGGCGGCCATTGGAGGGTGAACCAACAGCAAAGGAAGACCTTTCTCTCTGTCTGTCTCTCTCACTATCTACTCTGCCTGTCAAAAAAAAAAAAAGACTCAGTAGCTTCCCATGCATCCAAAACTCGGTGATTCCTATCTAATGGACATATCCCAGAAAAAGTCTTCTTGGTATATAGAGAAGGCGCAAGACTTTTGATAGGTACATTGTATGTAATGCAAATTAACCCAAATGCTAGGTGTATAGGTATTCATTTGCTCATTATCATTACTATTGTTAATTTCCTATAAAGCACACACATACACATATATACACATTTAATCTATATGTACACAAATATACTATATAACTTTGTATGCTTAATATATTTCACAATAGAAAGTTAAAAAATGTGATCAATTCAACAGATGCTGATAAGTTAAACGAGATGAGGATGAAGAACTGACATCTGGATTTGGCAGCAAAATGCCAAGAGGAAGTCAATCAAAATGACCTATAAGCTGAAGTCTTTTAAAAGAATTTTCATTCTGTTTTGGAAAAAAAGATACAGAAAAGTGTATCGAAATAGTAAGAAATAGGCTGTTCATACCTCAACAGCTTTCTGTATCTTTCTAAGGGAAGGGGTTCTTAGAAGACAGGGCAAGATTATTCTCAAAAACTATTCAAATGCATGCTATCATGTGAAGAGACATATTTAAGGGTGAACATTTAATTCATAGTGCAAATCGAATGGAGAGCAAATTGTGGAGAGTAAATGGGGCTACTGATAATGCTTCTGGGCAGTGGCATACAATGAGATGTCCCAAGAAAACTGGCCCATACGGTTTCCCACTAAGAAGCCAAGTTCAGTTTTGTGCCCTAGAAGGCTGCCCACAAGACTGGAATAAGGAATTCTCAGGGGGTTAAAAAAATTGGGGTGGGAAGGCTGGTCTTTAAATGCAGCCCAGTTAAATTTCATCAGTCGCTGATTCTGGCATGAAAATTATGGCTGTTAATGATAAATGTAAAATGATACTTACTCAGTTGATGGTATATAGGTTTATGCAACCCTTGAAGTTTCATTGATGCCACAGCAGCAAGTTTACCAGGGGGCTGCATTTTCCCATCTAAGAGATACCATACTCGAGCAAAAGTGGCCCATTGCTTAAAAAAAAAAAAATAGGAGAAAATAAATGCTAGCTAAAATGGAAATGATTGAATTTAACATTATATTCTATCACCTCTATTCTATGACTGTCCAATAATTACTTTGAACATAAAACACTATCAGTAAAGAATCTGTTTCATTTTCATTTGTATTTCTGGAAAGCGGGGGGTCTCTTATCATTCTATGAAGGTAAACACAGTACTTTTTCTTGCTTGCTTTTCTTAAAAATAAACAAGTAAATAAATAAAAAACTTGGAGTTTTTTTATGTCAGTCCACGTTCGATCCGTCAGGAACTGCTATTGGATCCAGCATCTTCCAACAAAACCTGCGCAGTCGTCCTACTCCAGTGTTACCAGCCCGGCTTGTGTACCTGCAGGTCTAGCCTGGCTTATTTCGACAGCTTCCAAACCGATTCTTTGCTTCATCCTCCCCTCACCCCCAGCTCGCAACAGTCTATTCTCGGCCTAGCGGCCACAGCGCTCCTCCCAACACCGCCGTCAGATCACGCTACCCCTTGGATCAAAACCCTCCAACAGGTCCCATTTTGCTTAGTAAAAAAATAAACAACAACCAAGAAACCCCAAAATCCTTACAATGGTCTACAATGCCCCCAGGTAACCCAGTTCATTATTCCTCTGAACTTCTAAAAATCTTTTTTGGGGAAAAAAAAAAAGACAATAGGCTAAGAAAGGAGAGGACGAAAGAGAAGGTGGACCCTCTCGCTTATGCTTTCCCAAGGCAACTCCTGGTGGACGTGCTCGGCTTCCCGGCAGACTCAGCTTCATCCCTCTCCTTCTGCCGTGGTAATGAACCTCACCAAGCCACGAGAATCCGAGCTCACCTGGGGCGCCCTGGAGAAACTCGACATGTTTCCCGGACTGGCAGATCCTTTCACCCAGGCGCGGAGCCGGGTCACACAGCGTTACCGGTCCGGTAGGAAACGGGCAGAACCAAGCATTTCAGTTCCTAGGCGCACCTACACACTTCCGCTACTTCTCCTTGCCTGGGGCGCCCTCCAGTCTCCCCACAAAAGCAGTTTCGTATTGAAAGGGTGAACTAATGCAGTCATTGAGAAAATAACGCCGGAAAGTAACCCATTTGACGGAAAATTGCGGAAACCTAATATAAGGAACAGTTTCCAGCGGATCTAACAGGAAGGGAACCGGAAGTACGTCACAGCGCGCGGCTATTTGGATGGCGAAGCGGAGACCTACAGCTGGGGTTGAGCTCCGAGATGGATCGGTATCTGCTGCTGTTGGTCTGGGGCGAAGGGAAATCCCCGTCGGCGGCCAGAGGGGAGGCGGAACGTGGGCCAGCGGTGTCATCCGAGGAGAGAAGCGGCGAGAAGCAGCCTGGTATGCTTTGGGCTGAGAAAGGGCGGGAACGGCTTGCGGGAGGCGACTCTGAGTTTTGGGTCAATTTCTGCTGGGCACCTACCGACCGATTTGTCAGAGTGTCTCGGGAAGCTGTGAGTCTGCCTGGGGAGGTGACGAGTAAAGATAGCCGGAAAATATCGTGCAAGCGAAAAAATAGGGTCAAATTAGTCGACGCAAGATTTGCAGCTCTCAGAACTTCCCGGAACAGTAACTATTTAGCTCAATAAATTCCTTTGCCTAAGCAGTGATTTTTGGCAACATATGCCTTCAGTAAGCCTTTCTGCCTCCTCATTTCCACGTGCAGTTAATGGGGGAACAGATGAATGAGGGTCTGCTGCCCTCGAGTTTGCATTCTAATGGGAGGAGACATTTCACGTATACCCCAAGCTTAAGAAACAAATGACAGATTTTAATCGATTATGACTGCAGTAGTTCCACTGCGTGGTACTCTTGTTTTACTTGGTGTTCTGAAGTTCGTTGTGGGGGTTTTGTTTTGACGAGGAGGAAATGTATGTGGTTGTGTGTAAGATTCTGTGACAGTTCTCCTCTTTGAAATTCTTCCTTTGAGGGAGGGGAATCTTGGCTTTGTGTTAACTGGCTGGCATGTGCAATCAGGGGCCCTTCCTGGTTTCTCCATCAGCTTTAGCTTTATCAAAACTTGAACACATCTTGAGTAGCGTGTGGTTTTTTATGCACGATAAATTGGTCTTGAGACTTTCTGATAGCCACATCAGAGTAGACGTGGGTTATATGCTCTGAGCCCGCTAAACTGGTCTGGTTTCTTTTTCAGACTTCACTGCAGCGAGTGTTTATCACCTCCTGAAAAGAAGCATCGGTGCTGCAGTGAATCCAGAAGATAGTACTTTCCCTGGTGAGTATAAAATAAACTTTTTAGTGCAGCATTTGTATTGGAATTAACTTAATTGGGGCACTTAGGAATACAAGGCACAGTTGTTGACAGTCTGCAAGGCACTGGGATGTGGAGGTAGCTAAAGAGATACAAAACTGGAAAACATATTACCTCTCCATGATTCTTGAATGTCATGAAGTTGTTATGAAAATTATTATTATTCAGCTTGGGTTTTGCTCCCTTTATAATATTTTCTTGCAGATCATTACTGGTCCATATAACATAGGAGAATGTGGCATTTTGAAGAAGATGTGGTCCCAAGTAAAAGCACTTTGTTTATGTCACCACCATCTTCCTTACCAGTATTCTTTATTCTGTCAATAGCTCTTACCAAGTCTCTTAATTGTTATACACAGCGATGTTTACTCTGTTCTCATCTGCTTTGACCTTTTAAAGCATTTCACTTTTTAGACCTCTCCTCCGTTAAGTTTTGTTTGCTTTTTACAAATCCATCTACCTGCTTTAATAATTATCATGTTTTTACTTTTTTTTCATGGCCTCCTTCTGAGGCAGACCAGTGCCTAAAAACTCAAGGAAGTTTCTGTAGGTGCCAGGAAGAGTACAATCATTTTTTATAACATTGATGTCACGAATATACAATCTGTTCTTTTCTCTTTCATTGAATAAACTCTTGTCTCAGTGTCAACTACCAGTGGGAAATGATTTCTAATGAGTACGTTCTGCAATAGCCTGTTTCCCAAGTCCCAGTAATACTCTCATTAATGCCTAGTCATTACTAGAGTTACAGCAGCAAAGAGTTGTGTGTTTCCTGAAAGGATGTTATGGAAATTATATGACTTCTGTCTTTTTATGAAAGAGATAAAGTCTTTTGCTGAAATTATTAGACGTGTTAATAGGTACTTAACATCTTTGATGACAAGCCTCAGAACCACATTTCTGCTTCCTGCTTGGAATCCAATTTCTGTACATAATGCTAAAATCATCATAATTCCTCTGATATGTACCGTGGAGTCACCTTTAATTTTATATACTCATGTAATAGTCCATCATCCAAGATTGTCTTCCATACCCTTAGTGTCGCTTCCCCTGTCGCGGAGGACGACACTAGACCCTGCGCTATTCTCTTTGCCGGGCCCTTCCCGGGTTTGCTGGCCCCCCCCCCGTGGAGGGGCGGCACCCCCGCCGCTTTCCCTGCTTCCGCAGCGGAGCGGCACTTGCCAACCGGCTCTCTCAGGGGCTGCTCAGGGGCTCCTCAGATGTTCCTGGTGCATGTTGTCTCTCTCCTCCTTTATAGTCCTCTTCCGCCAATCCATGCTCTGCTGCCCACACGCCAAGCACGCTGCTCTCCTCCAATCAGGAGCAGGATCAGCTCCTGCAGCTTATCAGTCGAACTGGTGAGGCAGCTGTGTAGAAGTTGTTTGCTGTCTCTCAGTGCCATATTGTGGGAGAGCAGATGCATAGAATTAGTCCTAGCAGTTCCAGTAATTTAGTCTAGTCTCAGTTGCTCCCCACACTTAGGGTATAGTTTCTTTTTTTTTTTTTTTTTTTTTTTTTTTTTTTGACAGGCAGAGTGGACAGTGAGAGAGAGAGACAGAGAGAAAGGTGTGCACCGCGCTGATCTGATGGCGGGAGCCAGGTACTTCTCCTGGTCTCCCATGGGGTGCAGGGCCCAAGCACTTGGGCCATCCTCCACTGCACTCCCTGGCCATAGCAGAGAGCTGGCCTGGAAGAGGGGCAACCGGGACTAGAACCTGGTGTACCGGTGCCGCTAGGCGGAGGATTAGCCTAGTGAGCCATGGCGCTGGCCAGGCTATAGTTTCTAACTCCTTTCTCTAAGCAAGTGGAACCAAATTTGCAGGGTCTTTGGAGAGGAAATTGTTTTTACTAATATGGCTTCTGTGATTTTTGTGTTATTCAGGAGAATTTAATTGGCTTTGTTTTTAAGAATCTTTAAGATTTTGATCTGCATGATCATTAAAATAATGGATTTTGAATTGTGATGAACTAAAGCAAAGGATTCATTCTAAGTGCATGCTTTTTTTCTTGAGGCAGACAACAATCTATTTGAATTTTTAGTAGAGATTTTAAAAAGATCCACATTTATATAAACTTTGGAAAGCTACGTTTCAAACTTAAAGAATTCTGTGAGTATATATGTTGTGATGTTTTCTTGTTTGTGGTCTGCTTTCTAATAAGTGTGATTTTGTATTCAAGCCTGTACAGTTGGCAGTGTACCTGGTTCCAGGAAGTGGTTCTTTGCAGTGCAGGCGATATGTGGATTTTATCAGGTAATAGTTACTAGAGAATTCCTTTGCTAATGTGGAGAATCCCATGAATCCATTACTTAGTGCCGTCTTTTGGTTTACTAGTTTTGCAGTTCTGACTGGCAAGAGATAAATTTTAATACGGAGAAAGATGAGATTGAAGATATTCTTCAAGCAAATATCGAAGAATGTTTGAATGCTGTCGAGTGTTTTGAAGAAGAGGATAGTAATAGCAGGGAATCCTTATCCTTGGCTGAGTACGTTAATATACTTTTTATTTCATCTGTTAAATAGTTAACATTCGACAGTTATTCTAAGCCATGAAAGTGAAGATTATAATAATTTTACCAACCATAGTTAGAATGTTTTAATTAATTGAAGATTTCAGCTCTTTGTTTTCGAAGACATTAGGCAATTTGGGCCTATCTCAAAGTTCTTTAAAAACAAAAATTCATACCTAAAAGTGTTTTATTTCTCAATCTTATGTAATTGCAAGAATTATACAAAGTGATATTTTAATTAACATGCCACTTTTCAAAAAAAATTCTGATTCTATATTTTAAGAACTTGAATAGAAATGTTATTTAATGTTATTAGATGGCATTCAAATCAAAATACCATTTTCATTTTACAACTTCATGCTGAAATATATGATTTATTCAGTTTGTTTATCTTCTGCATTTCAAATAACTTTTGAAATCCAGATTTTTGAGGATTATTTACATGACCAATTTCCTTTTAGGTTTTTTTTTTTGAATTGTGGTGTAACATATAACTTGTCTCAGATGACAGCTGTGGTAATTGTTTCTTTGTACAATATTTCATCTCTGACTGATAGTTATTAACCTTTCATTTTAGTCTTCATTGTCTCATGACAGAAAACTGCTTTTGTTTTTCTATATTCATATAATACTTGTATACCTGTAAGCAACTGCAAGCTTGAAAGTTTTCATTTTCTGTTTCCAGACCATATTTGTTGATATTGAGAATGTAGGATCAGGAAAAGTGTTTTCAGCCAGGGGTTCTTGGAAGCGGTCTCTGGTTATATGATTTTGGACCAGTCACTTAAACTTCTCTGGTCCTTTGTTATTTCATCCATACAGCTTGGGGATCCTTTTAGGTGATTTCTAAGGCACCTTCAGTCAGCCCCCAAAACTCTTACCAGTCCTTGCGTTTTCCTACAACTATGAAGAATGACAGATTGAAAGTATGTGTGATCTCATAATTACTTCCACAAGAGGGAGCCCCAAAACCATAGTTTAATGTAAGAGACCTTGAAATTTTTAGACAATGGGTTTCTAATAAAGAATTTAAGTACTTTTAGGCTGTGTAATAAGCAATTTGAGAAAAAATTTTGTCATGGTTAAAAGTTGTAGGTTTTCAAGATTTGGAAGAGAGCATTATATTCTTTAATCAGGACTATTTCATATCAAGAAAAACCAGTATCCTCCTTTATTATGTATTTAGCATTAACTTCTTCTTAAGATTCAGAAAAATGTTTTGTTCTGAATTTTATATGCTAGATATAATTTAGGGAATTTTAA